AACAATTGATCACTGCGCTGGTGTTAGCTCTGTCATCATGCGTGGAAAGATTTCAGATTTATAGTGACGCATCATTAAAAGACTTGAGTTGTGTTTTAATACAAAATAAAAGGCGACAGCCTACGCAACCAAACAGTTGAAGCGACATGAAACGAAATATCTGACGCATGACTTGGAGAGCTATTGTGGGTTTACTCTCAAAATTTGGCGACATTATTTGTACGACGTGAAATGTGAAGTCTTTGCTAATTATCAAAGCTAGAAATATATTTTCACACCAAAAAAATTGAATTTGAAACAACAAAGATAGTTAGAGTTGATCAAATACTATGGTCTGGATATACATTATTATTTTGCCCAAGCAAATGTAGTTGTTGATGCATTGAGTCGTAAATTCACATGTAGAGTAAGCTGGATTATCACTCAAAGGGCAGAGTTGATTAAAGAAATAGATGCTTTATAGTTAGAAGTGAGAAGATTAGGTGATATGGGGTATTTACATCAGCTAACAGTGCAACCGAGTTTGATGGATAGAATCAAGACAGCTCAAAAAGATAATAATTAATATCAAAAAATCCTGAAGAAATGTAAATCAGAAAAGATGACTGATATGATTGTTGATGAAGATGATGTCATCAGAAGCAAGGTACACTTATGGGTATATACTGATTCTGATTTGTGACAGGAAATTCTACATGAAACTGATCAATCATGCCATACATACAATTCATCCAAATAGTATAAAAATGTACAAAAATTCTAAGTTGACATTCTTGTGGCCAGGTATAAAGAAAGATGAATATGTATGTAAATGTCAAACTTGTTAGATTGTAAAAGTTGAGCATCAAAGACTCAGCAGATTGTCACAATCACTATCGATACCTGAATGAAAATGGAAAGAAATTGACAGGCTAACCAAGTTAGCTCACTTTTTGCCAATATGACAGATTCATTTGAAAAGTTGTTCAGATTGAACATCAAAGAAATTATCAGATTGGTGGTATTCTAAAAGTTATAATTTCAGATAGACATGAAAGATTCACGTCCAGATTGTGAAAAGACATTCAACAAGTTTTGGGTACATAGTTGCATTTCAGCACTGCATTTCATCTACAAACAGACGAACAATCATAAAGAACAATTCAATTATTGGAAGATCTAATAAAGCTTTGTGTTCTCGACTTTGGAGGCGGTTCGGAAGATCACATTCCAATGATCGAGTTTATCTACAATAATAGTTATCAATCCAGTATCAAAATGACTCTTTATGAAGTACTATAAGGTAGGAAATGTTGAATTCCATTGAGTTGGGTCAAAGTGGGTAAACGCCAAAAATTAGGTCCGGAGCTATAATTGATGAAGCTACAGAGAAAATCAAATTAATTAGAGACAGATTGAAAGATGCTCAGGATCAACAATAAAAATATTACAACCTAAAGCACAAAGGAGTTCAATCTGAAGTTGGATATTTCGTAATTTTGAAAGTCAAACTAATGAAAAGAAAAACTAGATTTGGTCAAGGAATCAAGTTGAGTCTCAGGTATGTCGGTCCTTTTGAAATTATAGAAAAGAACGGACCAGTTACCAACAAATTAGCATTACCTGTGGACATATCAAATATTCACAATCTGTTTCATTTTTCAATGCTTAGAAAATAGGTTTCAAACTCAAATTAGAGGATTTCACATGAAGAAATTGAAGTACAAAAAATCTAACATATATTGAAGAGTGAAAGAATTTTAGAAACAGCTGTCAAGAAACTAACAAGCATACATACTCCTATCAAAATAAAGTGGAAGCACGGGCCTGAGAAGAAAGCTAAATGAAAGAAAGAAGAAATGCTATAGAAATATCCCTTTTCAAGTAAAGCCAGAGATTTCAAGGATGAATTTTTTATGAAGAGAGAGTGGTGGCGCCAAAATTTTGATAAATTAAGTTTGGCAAATTGGAAAAGTACCACAATTTTTTTCATCTCCTAAAATTCAATCGAAATAATTTTATAAAATTCTATGCATCAAATAGATCAATTCCATAAAGCATTATATGTTAATTATAAACGGAAGGGGAGATTTAAATTTTGGAAGTTTTTATTAAATTAATTAAACTTAATTAAATCCATAAATTCCGCATGATCACTGTTCCACACCGACCTTACACCATTTCATTCCATTCGTTCGGTCGAATAGCGTTGCGAGCATCCATTTCCTTACCGTCTCTTGAATTCCCTTCTCTCTCCCGATTCTCCCTCTCCCTCACAGAGCAACTTGGCAGCAACTCGGCAAGCCCCCTTCGGCGCATGCTACAGTGTAGAGCAAGCAAACGTGGGTCAACTGGCACACAGGGAGGCAGCTGGCAGCATTTCAAGCTTCGAGAACAAAACCAAATGGTATGAATCCCTGTCTATTCATTTAAGATATTAATTTTCTTCCTCAAATTTCTATTTCGACATTTATCTCGATTTTTGAGCAATTTTGGTTTCTCGTAGTTGTTGGAGGCACGTCATTTATATCAGAAACGTCAAAAGTTATTTGAAAGCTTGCATACGGGTTTTAGCATGATATTAACGAGGGGGGAAGTAGAGATTAAGGTGTTAGAAAGAGTTGGGGAGAAAATAGGTGATTTCAAAAAAATGAATTTATGCCAAGAAACCCGATTGAGGTATGCTTTGGGCATAAAAGTTTTGTTTTATCTTAATGCATGTTATGAGCCAATTTTATGAAACTATATGTTGCCTACTATGCTTATGAATTCTCAGGCTGTCTATAAGAGGTGACAAGCTCAAGACGAGCGTATGGGCACTTCTTGTAGGGTTGCTCCGTAAAGTCAGTTGGAATAATCTTGCGCTAATTTAAGATATAATATTCTATAAGTTTTTAAATGATTTTAGTTTGATACAGAAGCATTTAGAATTTCTAACATATTATAAATGGATACAAACCATTGAATTTATGAATGCATGTTTACATCTCTTACTATACATGTGATGTTATGATCATGTTATGATATATATGATTGTACTTATGATATTAATTATTTGCAGATATTCATTTATTATGCTTCATGCCTATGATACATGTAATGTCTGATAAATGTGGAAGTAGGAATAATGATTTAAATATCAGAAGGAATGTTATGGATAAATTATTACATGAGTGCTTGCAATTACACTATGTAGGGATATAGTATTCCTGACTCATAATATTTATACCGGGATGAAACTCTAAGAATCGTTGGGATTAGGCGATGACAAAATATTAGTGAACTGTGTATTAGGAGAGTTATTGATAAGTGATATGTTGGGGAAGCCCAACTTTTATCGATATTTTATATGACCTTTAGGGGCAGAGTGACGACCCATGATATGAAAGTACATGAAAATGGTTGAGCCATATATATTAAAAAAGTGATAATACTATGAAATGAGCTCTATGAAATAACATTGTCATGATTGCATACGATAAACAACCTATAAACATGCTTATGATTATACTAATGATTTCATAATTATGACTTACAAGTTACACTGCAGTCATGATTTTTATACTATTTGTTCTCTTTTCATGTTTTTAATATGCTAGTGTGTTATGACTTATGTGTAGACATGTACAGTTTCATACAAACATGCATGCTTATTTTTCATTTATGAAATCTTATGTTAGCCTTGATTTTTTTCTCTAAGCTCAATGTTGCTTACTTTATGTTATTGTCTTCCAGGCAGGGGCAACGAGAACCGGGCAAGTAGTTAGGTGTGATTTATAAAGTTTTGTATTATATAGTTTTGGGAGTTGTACAAATTTTTTTAGCACGTATTTAATTTTTATTGGATTTAACAGCTATGTATAGTTTTCATGTTTTGAGGTTATGATTTTTCAATGTTTTCGAGTATAAATATGAATGAATTATGAAATATAATGTATCACGTATGTTACGACAATTTAATTTGACTATTTATTCACCCATTGAGTCATGATTCTACAGGTTAGAACACGTGTTTGTGAGAATGTAGTATGGTTGAATTGTTAACATCTGTCGCACCTCAGCCGACCCTTAAAGTAGGGTCAGTCGGGGTGTGTCACCGAAGCCGACTAAAGACAGTCGACCAAATCATAAAGTATCCAGGCAACAACCTCACATATGTAAAATATTTTACATACCACACTACAAACCCCTTTAAAATAGGAGCAAAAATGTACCATCGTCATATTGCATCATCCCTATAAATAGGGAAATCCTTTAATAAAGGATTGACACGATGGATTACTATTCATTGATGTTCACACACAAATTCTTAAAATATTGGGCGTGAATCACGGATAATTCAGGATTCAACTACTAAAAGGTACAATGAGTGTGGATCATGCCACAAACAAAAAGAGTAGCCCATGAAGAAGAAACTCACAACACAAACCGGCAATATGGAATGCAGAAGTGTGTTTGTAACTCAACAAATCCAGGAGCTGAATGATCAAATGTTGGATGCCATCCGAGACACGCTAGGCTGGTGAGGAAATAACATAAAATAAAAAAACCTAAAATAAGAAAGGAAATAACTCATAATCTAAGGATATAACTCATTGATCCAAGGAAATAATTTATTCATCATAATTTCTCACAAGAATAAATTATTTCGTAGTATAACTCCTAACATTGAGGAAAATATTAGAGTTCTATATTCTAAAGGTATAGTAATTAAAAATAGACTTACAATGTTTAGTTATATAACAACGGATAAAAAATATTGACATAATTAGTATAAGAGAATTAGAAAGGAAAAAAAAACAGACTTGGAGGTTACATGGGTAGAAGTTATTTAAAATGTTTGATGAAGAATTAGTTTACCATCTCAAAATGAAAAATGAGAATTCATAATACTGAATCCATATTATTGGGACAAAGTAATGCTGAAAAAAATTATGGGACTCCATTCTGCTAATTTTAGCATTCCATAAAAGCCATAAACTATATAAATGTGAATAAAAAAGAAAAAGATAGCATTTTACCTTTACTGTTTTTAGAAGAGCTGTAAAATGATGCCTCAAATAAGTTAATGTCTTCCCATACATGTCATGAATCAACTCTTCAGTCCTTCGAGCGACTTGATCATCCAAATCAAAATTAATAGGAGGCTCGATGAAATCATAATCAACATAGAGAGATCCTTCAAAATCAAGACGGGGTCCAACAAATTGAGCTTTCCGTTTCCAAGGGAAGGGTTCGCCATGAATTGTCATTGGATTCTCCAAGTTCCAACTGTTAAGTAGAAGAAACTATTTTCAGACAAAAATAACTGACGAAGGTAATTAATTGTTAGAATACATAGGTCTCACATGGTTAGTATTTTGCGTGCAAGGCAAGTCGCATCCTCAAGATATTTTAGGGATGCTTTTGACGTGTCGCGTCCAAATATTACTTCCTCTGCAGCTCTACCTCCCAATAGTACCTTGACCATACAAAAAACAAACAATTTGTCACAGTTTTTTCAAGGCAGGTAATCATCAAACATACAAAGAAAATGGAGTAATCCATGATAAGAAAAAAGTATACCTGAAGGCGGTGGAGTAGCTGGGGACGCTTTTCAAACATATAAAACTCTTCATCAAGGCGATGGAAAACAATTTGGGAGAGTGTCTGCAAATATCAGCAAGGATCTAATTTAGATGATGTATACATGCAACAGAAATATCAAAAAAATGAACAATATACAACAACAACAACAAGAAGCCTTTATCCCACTAAGTGAGGTCGGCTACATGAATCGTTTTTCTCCATTGCGTCCTATTGAATGTCATATTTTCATTTAATTCTAATAAATTAAGATATTTTTTTATACGATATGCCCATGTCTTTCTAGGTCTACCTCTGTCTTTCTTAACATAAGTCGAATCTAAAACATCTACTCTCCAAACCGGATCATTAGATGGTCAACGTTTAATGTGATCGAACCATCTAAGACGACTCTATAATTTTGTCCACCATTGGAGCTACACCAACCCTATCACGGATATATTCATTTTGCAATTTGTATCTAAGTGCAAAGCCACTCATCCACCTAAACATTCTCATCTCGGTAACACTTAACTTAGTTTTATGCTTCTCTTTTAAAGACCAACATTTTGCGCCATAGAGCATTGAAGGTCTCACCACCATCTTATAAAATTTTCCTTTCAGTCTAAGCGATATATTTCTATCACAAAATTGACTCCAAGCATTCTTCCACTTCAACCAACCAACTTGAATTCTACTAATACCATCGCCATCTATATCACCGTCACTTTGCACAATAGACCAACGATCTAAATCATTGACACCTTTTAATAATTAGATCACCCGTAGTTACATCTCTGTCACTAGAGCTACAACTGCTAAAATTATATTCCATGTATTCAGTTTTAGTTCTACTCAAACTAAGGTCTTTAGAAACTAAGGTCTTTAGAGGTCTTTAGACTCCAAAGTAGACCTCCAAAATTCAAGTTTTTCCCGAGCTCTTCCTTTAAGCTTATCCACAAGAAGGACATCTTCCGCGAAAAGCATACACCAAGTACATCCTCTTGTAAATGTCTAGTAAGAGAATCCATAACTAAAGCAAAAAGATATGGGCTCAAAGCCGATCCCTAATGTAATACAACTGAAATAGGAAAATATTTGGTCAATTCTCCTTCTGTTTGAACACAAGTAACAACTCTAGTATACATATATTGAATGATTTGAATATTAATCATATCAACACATTTCATCTCTAGAATTCTTGAAAAGATATCTCTTGGAACCTTATCGTAAGATTTTCTAAATTAATAAAAATCATATGAAGATCATTTGTATTCTCTCTGTACTTCTCCATCAAACATCTCAATAAATGTATAGCCTCCATGGTAGACCTGTCCGACATAAATCGACATAAATCCAAACTGATTATGAGAAATCTTTATAATACGTCTTAACCTATCTTCAATTACCTTCTCCCATACTTTTAAAGTATAACACATCAACTTAATTTCTCTATAATTTGCTTACTCTTGCGCATCCCCTTTATCTTAAAAATGGGGACCAAAATACTCTTCCTCCACTCCTTAGGCATCTTTTTAGTTTTTAAAATAATATTAAATAGTTTAGTAAGCCAAGAAACTCTCAAATCTCCTAAATATTTTCACATTTCAATTGGGATATCATCAGGTCCCACAGACTTTCCGCCTGCAACATAACCAATATGCAAGCACAAAACCAAATTTAGTAGTAAAAACTGCAACATGGAGGTCAAAAAAATTACCTGGCCCCGAGGGATGATAGAGATTCGTTCACAGTACTCTACTTTCGCATTTTCATAGCGTCTCAGTAAATGTGATGTTATTGCAACTCCAACTTCAGTTATAGCTCTTCGGCATTGCCCTTGATGCCCTAATTCAATGACCACCTTCTTTGGTCCAATAGTTAACCTATCAACTGCCTCATCCATATCAGACTGAAACACTGATTCGTGCTTGTTCCTCACTGCTACCAGAGCTGCCTCTTGCATAAGTTGAGCTAACTTTGCACCAGTCCACCCTGAAAATCATGTCACCTCAGATATCTAGCATTGCAACCGAATTATATTCCAGTAAATTATAAGATTAAATTAGGAAAAGGAAGTAATTCAAAGACCATCTGTAATAAAGCAATTCAAAGTCCACGCGTAATAATAATGACTGTTGAAATTTTTAAGTTATTGAAGGAATTACCACAAGCTGCAATATTATGTTAGCATAATAGGGTTTACAGCATTTCCGTTGGCAGCATTTACAAACTAGAAGATGCAAGGTAAGCAGCAGAATTGTGAATGGCAATAAGAAAGGGAAATATATGACCCATAAGGGCTGTAAATAGACGAGTACATCACTGTTTTGTTATTTGGAGAAATACTCCGAACATATTCATTTTCGAGCCAAAATATCCTTACTATGCCTATATCACTGTTTCCGAGTACTTGTCTAAGAAAAATGAGTTAAAATGTTCAAATATTCTCAGCTCCTCGTGATGCTTATATGTATTCTCTATTGCCCGAACTTCATCTTTCAAGTATTGTTTAGTTCAGCAAGATAAGAAAATTACAACACTGAAGTTGAATCAGACAAAATAGGTTAAAACCGGCTTTGATAGTTATAGGAAAGTCATTCATTTTAAATCCAAGCTATTGTGTAATGTTTAAATGATTCAAATTCTTTACATTGAATTAAGGTGCTAGAAACCTAACGTTTTTTGGACATTGGTCCAACTATATGATCTTTGAATGATGTTGTATCATAATACTTGTTCAAACCTTTTCAAATGTTGTTTGAACATTTTTTAATATTGTTCAAATGTATACTCAAATCTTATTCAAGCCATGTTTGACAATTAGCCAAACAATATTTAAATATGATTTGAACCTTATTCTACTCGTTTGAATAAGATTTGAAGCATACTCGAAAATATTTGACAAGATTTAAATCAATGTTAAAATAATATTTTGGGATAATTCTAATAAGGTTCGAGAATATGTTCAACCCAGATAGTGATCTTGCTTGTACTTATATTCTGAGTATATTTTTATAGAGGTTGAATCAACTTCAGCATTCTTGTGATGTATGAAGGAGAATGTAAAAAAGATAACTAAGTCGGTTGAAATTTATTAGAACACAGAGCAAAGTCTTGATGGTTCAAAGAGCTATTTCCATAGTAGATCTCATAAATCTTATATTCAAAGTTACAAAAATAGATAAAAACTAAACTAACTTGAAGCTAGAGGTGATGTACCATTTCAATGAAGTAAAATCCAAGATTCTAAATTTCTCAAACAGAGACAGCAGCAGATTATAAACATGTTTTCTTCTTAAATGAGAGTTTCCTATCTCTATCTATTGAGCTCAAAAAAATTTCGGTTGAGGAGTGCGAATGAATGGATGCAAGGTTAGTTAGACAATCATCTAAAGGTGATGTTCATAGCTGGGATGCGAATGAAGCAAAAATGTTGCTGACATACAAGATGCAGATGATGACGGCTCCTTGGATTCTTCAATACTAAAGCATCTATTAAATATTACGTAACCTCTTTATAATATAATTAAAACTAGAAAACAAGTGAAGTCGACTGATTATTTATGTACCATGCGGTTGGAATAGCCATTCGTGATATGAAGAAAATATGGATAACTCCTATCACACAAGGATTAGTATTCGAAAATATTTTCAATTAAGTGATTGTTAATATAATGACCTCATATTTGAGTTTTGCCCTCATTGCATTTAAAAGTTAGGCAACTTATTAAAAGTAAAGATAAGTTAAAGAGGAAGTTATATGCAAGAAGAAATATTAATTTCACGATGAAATTATGGATAGTGATTTAAAATGTTTATTGTACTTTTGAAAATGTTAATGGAATTTGGTTTTTAGGAAATTAGCAAAAGTTATGAATCAGAACACACTTGCATGAGAGATTTTCGACCAACGAATCATCGACAAGCTCAAGCATGACTTATTGGTCATATCAGCAAAGAGAAGCTCATTGGATCTAACCCTAATTATTATGAAAGGATGATAAAATAAAGAAATGAAAAGAAATATGGTATTGATTTGTCTAATGAAAAGGCCTAGCATTGTGGTGCACAAGCTATCAATTGTGTAAGGGGGTCCTCTAAGCACCCTTTGAAAAATTAACATCACATTTGATCACACTCAAATGAAAGAAATTGACAATTTTAAGACCGTCCAATCTACTGGATCATTCAAATGCAATACTCCTTTTTGTGTGTTTACATTGAAGGCTTCAAAAGTGCACATTGTGTAACATTTGTTGTGGATGAAGCATTTCTAAATACAGTATGTGTATAAGATTAATTTTCAGTATTGCATTTTGTTATGTCTTTTGGCATGTTTAATTTCCGTTACATTTAACAACTATTTTTGAATGAAATTGAGCTTTAAAGAAGAGCATTTTCATGTTTTTTTCTTACAAGTATAACAAGAAAACATGGAGCGAAATAGAGTTGAAATGGAGCGAAACAGAGGCTAAATGGAGAAAAGGATAAACTAGCAGACTGGTGCCTAGGCGCCAGTGCCACGCCCTGGCTCCATGGTGCCAACTCCTGGCACCTAGGCGCAAGGAAATCTCAGAAAATCTCAAGAATATGGTGCCTGGGAGCCACAGACTGGCACCTAGGCGCCGATGTCTTTCCGGAAATTAGAAAAGACGGCGCCTAAACGCCGCAGACTGGCGACTAGGCGACGGAACTATCCAGGGGCGGTTTCTGCACACCCCAGGGAGTTATTTGACGGATTCAGACGTTTGGAAAAACACTTTTTGACATCTCCAAGTCCTTAAATTCTCCAGGAACGCAAAGAGGTCATAGATAGGAGTAGGAAATGTAGATTTTTACCTTTTCTCGAGATATTGGAGAGGTGATTTTGATAGAAAACTTTAGGGGAATTGTAAGAATTTGCATCTTTTTTTCATAAGGCAAAAGTTAAGCATATTGTTATCTAATGTCTTGTACTTGTTGTAAACATATGTTTAGTGGATTTTTTTGTGTTAAGATGATGTATTTTATGGTGTTCTTCATGTTTTGTTAGTAGATTCTCTTTACCCTTCTCTTGTGTTGAATAACAAAGATTTGTAGGATGTGTTGGATGCTTTTAGAATTGATTTTTAAACTTTAATGTGATGGTTTTTATGTCATGCTTACTTTACTTATCAATCTGATCAATTGGTATGTTAAAATTTATTGTGAATCCATAATGACTCGAGAGAGCTATGACTTTAACAACTAGGAAAAACCACATTACACTAGTGGGTGAAGGAAAAGTAGTTCATAGGTAGGGGTGTAAACAAACTGAATACAAATGAACAGAGCTCATGTTCATGTTCGGTTCGTTTGAAATTACGTGTGTTTGAAATAAGCTCGTGTTTAGTCGTGATATTACAATTCGTGTTTGATTTGATTTGTTTGAAATATATTTGAAATGTTTGAAATGTTTGAAATGTTTGAATTGTTCGAATTGTTTGAATTATTCGAATTGTTTGATTTGTTCGAAATCTTACAAATTTATTTATATTATTTGAATTGTTCAAATTGTTTGAAATCTTTCAAAAGCTTAAATCTAAAGAAAATTAATGCTTATACATGTATAAATCACAACACAAATGCAAAATAGTCGAAACACAGCTCACAATAAAACCATCATATCATATCTCATCCATAAAAATTCAGATCTAGAGACAATATGCGAGATTTCACTCCCAAAAACTAAGTTTCACTCAAAGAAATTAAATAAATTTAAAAAAAATATAAGAAAATTTAAGCTAAGAGACGAACCTGAAGATAAGTACAAAATTATAGAATTTAAATATAAACTAAGAGGCGAACCTGAAGATCATATTATAATTTATAGGATTTATTTTTTTAAAATATGATATATTTTTAGAGTACATAATTATTTTTAAAATATGAGAATTTTTATATATAATTATTTTAAATTATTTTATATTTTGAACAATAACGATTCGAACACGATCGAACAAATGACTGTTCGTTTTTTGTTCATTTATAAAACGAACGAAAAAAATTGATCGTGTTTATCTCGTTTTCTTATCGAACGAATCGAACACGAACTCTCTGACGAGCCGAATATGAATTGTTCATAGGGCAATGCAAATAGATAGAGAGATAGACTTTTATGGGTGTAACTTGGGGACTCTAGGGTGACAGGTTATAATCTTAACCAATTTGATCTAGGAATTAATGAATTAAAACTAGGTTAGCCAAATTGAAGGGTATCGATTAGAGACTCTAAGGCAACAGGCTAGAATTATAACCAATGTAATCTAGGGTTTAAGGAATTAAAACTCGGTTAACCAAACTTCTTTATACACTCCATAGAGGGTAAAGAACAGTAATGTTCTTATTTATCATTAATCACAAAAATAATTAGAAGTATTAGATCCTACAATCCACTTATGTAATCACAAGAGAAAGGTAGTTTTTACCACTTGAAATTTACCAAACCAATTTATCTAGTTAGGTTTAACATTAGACTTAGGGTTGTAATTAGGAGTAGTTAGAAAAATCACCTTAATTGACATTCCAAACTAAGACCTGAACGTAATAGATTGTAACTTAGTCTAAAGAATTTCTTACATCGTTTCTCTGTGGGATCTTACTTAAACGGTACAGATACTTGCGTGAGAAACCTCAGGGAGTAATAATACCTAATTTTAAGAACTCAATCAATTAGCTAAGAATCATATCTAGTTTCTAGTGCCTTTACCAGGACTGCACAAAAAAAAAGTGATACATACTGGTGTGGATCACATTTCACTTATTGATAGGTGGTCAATCAGAAAGAACTATCAATTTTTTAAAGATTTACTCCATTTATATTTTCTTAACTTTGGTAGAGGATGAAAGTTACACTTATTATTGATAAAATTTATATATAGTAATAATAATCCGACAAGCATTGAAATGGCTTCATATGAAACTCTTTATGCAAAAAAGTGAAGGATATCGTTGTGTTAAGCTGAAATAGATGAAAGAAATATCATTGGTATAAATTTAGTTTACGATACTACTGCGAAAATTTTATTGATCAGAGATAGATAAAAAATTGTGCAAGATAGAAAATGAAAATATTATGATGCTCGACACAGACCAATGAAATTTGAAGTTCGAGAGTTTATTTTTATCAAAGTCAATCTATTAAAGAGTGTGCTGCACTTTAAAAAGACAACTTTTTTTTTAAAATGAGTCTGAGATACGTGGGTCAATGTGAAATTGTGTATAAGATTAAAATGATGTCTCATTGATTGGCTCTACAAGCACATATACAGGGAGTACTTAATATTTTTCATAAATCTTCACTTAGAAAATATATTTCTAATGTTATAACTTCAGTTAATATACAATCTGATTTGACATATATAAAATAACATGAGAAAATACTATATTATGATATTAAGAAACTTTATAACAATGAGATCCAATTTGTAAGGATTTTATAGAGGAATGGGTCAAAAAAAATCCCACCATGGATAAAATCATAAGCAATGAAGATTTTTTCATCTCTTCAAGTACGATATATTTTCTCTTATTTAAAATTTCATATTTTGAGGACAAAATTTTATGAGAGAATATGTAATAACTATTAAAATGAGATTTTTAAAAGGGACGATTAGAGCAAAAGTCGTCTCGGCAGTTTCGTCAGTGGGAGACAAATAAGAATGTCAAGATTTTAACCAGTAGGAAGTATAGAGATGAGAGCAAGGAGAGCGAGAAACAGAGGGGAGAGTGAGGAAAGTGAGAGACAAAGACTAGGGCGAGTGAGAAGGAGAACAGAGGCAAGCGCATGTGTCTCGAATGAGTGAGGAGAACAACAATGTTGTCGTGTGCGCAAAGGAAGAAGAGTAAGGAGGAAGGTTCGCTTGTCCAACAAGAGCATTAGAGTCAAACATTGTGCTTGGAGGCAGCATCGATTAGGAGTCATCTTGTGTGAAGCAGGGAACCTGGAGAGCAACTTCGCATGAGAGAGCAGGGAGGAAACGAGCCAATAAGGTATGGTTAAGGATTTATTAGATTTGTTTTCAGAATAATCAATAAATTAAAAATGTATTAAATGTTAATTATTAGATTTTACTAAATCAAAATTGAAGGCAAAAAAATAATCAGATTGCAGGAAGAAAAAAAAGTCTGCGATAATACGTTAAGACAGAAGGATATTCAGATTTGAGGAAGAAAAAGAAGTTTGAGACAAAAAAAGTTTAGTGTTTAATTACAAATTCATTTATAGACAAATTAATTTTAGGTTATTAAGTATTAATTTAAAAAATTTATGAATTATAATCAGTTGTTAATTGAAAGAATTGAAATGATCGCAGATTTATAAAAGAAATATGATAAAGAGCCTAATTGAGGTAAGCCAGTCATGTGCTCACACCATGTTGATTAATGTGTTAATTCTATAGTAAAAAGTATTGAGATATGATGGAGTTTGATAGATAATAATTGAATAAAATAAATTTTTAGAAATCTCGTATTAATACTAAAAATAACATCTTCAATTTTTTTTTAGGTGAAATTGACCGAAAATAATTTTTGAAATGATGAGAAAAAGTGATAAGGCTAAAAAAATTAATCTATATACTTTATGGGATTATTTTATAAGGTAAAAATAAGGTGAGTAATTACTATTTTATGTGCATTAAATTTATTTTCCTTATTTAATAGTAATTGTGCTTTCAAAAAATAAAACTTCAATGTTTATATATTATTTTAAAAGAAATATTTCATTTATTTCATATGCATTGAAGGCTTGAAAGTATTTCTATGATTGAAACAAAATAAACGAAAAATGAAATGACTGTTTATTAATTTCAATTATTTCACCTTTTGCATTATGAAAATTTTTTATAAAAAGATTTAATGATTGAAAGAAATCAAACCTCTTTATAATGAAAAGTAAATACTTAATTCAAATAAAAAATTACACATTATGATATAAGTTGGAAACGCTATCGCACTCATGCACGAAAATAAAAATACAAATAGAAATACAAATGATAACGAAAATGATTAGACTTTAATTGATATAATTTTTTAAAGATGCTCCTGAGATGGCTTCTTAAAGAAAAAAAATAGAAAAATATAAATATGTAAAAATAATTTAATATATATTATTATTTAAATGGAAATTTTATAACTTATTATATAAATTAATCACCATATTTCTTTTGAGCATTCGTGTTAAATATTTGTATGATGATTTAGTGTTATTTGAATGTTTCTTTCAAAAAAAAAATTATCAATTTAAAATTACTAACATAAGAGTATATTTATTACAAAAAAAGGTTTTAGTGAAATTATGTATTATACAGTTGTTTTATATTTGGTTTCTTTTCATTGGTACAACTGTTACACATATATGTTAATATTATCTGAGTGTTTGTTCTTGTCTGATATTCGAAGTATCTGGAACAGGTCGTGACACAACTTGGCAAAAATCCTTATTCTTTCTTTTACATCGCCTTGGGCTTCAACAGATTTCTCACCACCTACAAATTTGGCACATCCACATCTAATTCTCCAACATATTGCTAGGCAATTTATCAAAAACTTTCTATACAATAGAAAGACCAAAATTGACTTCTTGGAGAGTAGAAGCTTAATTCACTTCATTTTTACATCTTTCAATAGCAGCATGCAAATGAGTAAGCTGATCAACATATTGTTTCACCAAAAAAATTCAGGCGAAATGAACGCAACTGTAAAAATATTTTTCTTTCAATCTTTCCTCGTTATATTATTCAAGGCAAAAGAAAATAAAATCCTAACTTTCTATTCCAAAATAATTTTTTTGCAAAAAATGGAGAGACCACTTATTCCTTTAAAATCATGAGAGATGGAAGGAGGAGAGGAAAGTTGATATGTTGGTGCAGCCAACAAACACCCCCCAGATTTCAAGCCTCAATCTTCGCATTTTCTTCCTCGATCTTAGACCCTTTTTTTTTTCAAAAACTACTCAATTTCAACAATCAAGCTTTTCCTAGAAATATGTAATTTATCCCTTAGAATTTTCATTGTTTTTGCAAGAATGAAATATCAGAGACAAGGAGCCTAGTGTGGCCTTTCTAAAATAGCTATAAGGCCAAAGCACAGAAACCAACAAAGACACATCAGATCAGTTGACTGGATACTTTAATAAATCATTAATTAATTATTCAATGAACTTAACTCTCTTATATTTTAAAAAATATATTTATAAAAAGATAAGATAATCGAGAAACTAAATATTTATAATTAAATAATCAATGACTTTGTCCAAATAAGCATCTACATTGGGCACACTTATGATTGAACACAGGTTTGAATAACCAAAAGGTCAGTTCGGCCGATTGGATGAATTGACTAGCCAACACGATACACTAACCAGTTTAAATATTCATTATCTCAGCATTCATCAAGGGGCGAGTAGCTATTTGATAAATTATTAGCCCAACTACGGTTATTCCACAAATCAATAGGCAGACTAAAGAATATTATCAATTTGGCATGCACTGAACAACACTCATATGGTCAGAAGATGGTTCCTATCTTGGCACTTCACTAGGTTGTACAGCTAACAATATAATTATTATATCTTTTTCATCTTTTTATTGTGTAGCTCATTATATAACATAAACAGTGTCAACCCAGACCTATAAATAGCAAGTTAAGATTGAGAGTCAATTTAAGCAATCTAAGTTACACACTCTAGTACTCGATTCCTTGAGCAATAAAATCTCAAAACTTCTCTCTCTTTCTCTCTCTCTCACGCATATTCTCTTTTTACTCTTGTATAGATGATGTGACTTTACAAACCTTATGGGATCCAACAAGCACTAAAGTATTAGATGTCACACTTTAAGTCCGAATCTTAACTCAAGATCAAAAAGCAACTTTTTGTAGTAAGATAAAAAAATGCACCAGACTATCATTTAGGTTCACTAGTATTTTCTATTCAGTAGCTTGCAATCTGTTTTCTAGCTTAGAACCACCAAACTAATCATAGTAATAACTATAATCATGCATAAACTAGTACATCAAAGTCTAACATAGATAAGAATGCCAAGACAATATTTAAAAAGTAGAAAATGACAAATCAAAGACTGTTTATTTTATAAATAAAGTGAGAATCCTACAATCTTTATTTTATAAATAAAATGAGAATCCTACAATCTAGAAATAAATGTATACTATCATAGCCCCATCCTCTTTGTAAACAATATGTACCGTAATAAAAAAAAAAAATTGTAGCAAGAGGATCACCATTGTTGTTGCATCAAGTGATGGAGCACATCTTTCACAACACAAGGGTAGCTGATATTCCAAGGTTTTAGGTTAATCAAGAATCACAAAATTTGGTTCATAGAATTAATTCTCTCTCACAGCTGCTGATAGGAAAAAAAAATCGACAAGGATATTTTCCCTTTTTTTTTAAACCACTAAATAATGTTAAGAGTTGAACCCATGATACCATGGGAGTAATGTTAAGGGTTGAACCCAAGGTAATGTTTGGAGTTATTTTTCATATGCTTTAATTGATAAAATTTGTACCAACAATTCAAATAACTAGGTTCTACACCATTATAAAATACAGGACATTTCAAAACTATATTTCAAATCAAAATTACAGCGAAAAGCAACATGGAGTGAAAAAGAACACAAATAAAGTTAGCATACCCGGCAAATTTTGAGCATAAGAAGCCAAATCAACAGTTGGTGACAATTTGACTTGACGAGCATGAACCTTTAAGATGTCCAACCGCCCCTTTGCACCAGGAGGGCGGATTCTTATCTAAAACAAAAACCAGAACAATAAAAACATGATAGCAACAAAAATAGAAGTAAAGCCACAAGAAGAATAAATTTGAAAATTGGGATACTCTAATGGCCATTTTAAGCTAATCAAACTACCAAAATAAGAAATGTGAAACACTGATTAAAAGGGAGAGCACATTCATTATTTTTTATCTCCTCATCCTCCCTAAATGCAGTGTTTATAGAACACAATGACAACCGTAAGCTAATCATTCTACTATTAACCACACTTAATTACTAAACATCACAATTTTTAAGTATAACTTATATTGTGGACTCAACAATATGGCTACTCCTTTTTTATAAACATAATGCTTTTATAAATTTTTTTTAGTCTAATGGCACCACTATTGTGCAAAGTATCTCCAAAGGAAGAACGATGAGATTTCAAAATAATACAAACATTCCAAGCTTCGGTTGCGCCATCACTTTATTGCAGGATGTCGAATCTTTTCAATTGCTAAACAGATCCACAAATTATCATATCATACATCAAGTGGATATAAACTTTATAGCAAATTATTGATAAGACCCATACCTTACGATCAAAACGACCAGGTCGAAGAAGGGCAGGATCTAGCAGGTCCCTACGATTAGTCGCACCCAAGAAAATTACACCTTTTCCAGTATCAAACCCATCAAGTTCAATCAGAAGCTGATTGAGCGTAGTCTCTCGTTCTTGTGTTGCAGCATTATAAAGATGGTTGGTTGACTCTTTAAAAATACCTTGACGCCTATGCATACATGGCAAGTTAAGCAAAGGAGATAAGGAAATAAAATTTTAAAGCATATCTCTCAAATTCAACAAAGATGCCAGAGAAAAGGATTTCTTTCAATTTAAAATTCCAAAGCGTTAAATGGGATTACTTTGAAACATTAATTGAATTTGTGATTGTGGAGTATGTATTCATGCTTTTATTGGAAATAGAAGAGACAACATAACTAGTACTCTAAATAAAACTGATTATTTCAATACTAAATTAGCATATAATGCATGTGGCATATTAAAAAACACTAGTATCAAATACATGTCAATCAACTTTATGATATAGAATAAAAATGAATATTGCGAAGCATGAAACTAGAAAATTACAAGATCCAAGGAAGGAGCCGAAGTCACTATTTTCATAATTCAAATTCATTCCTGTCATAATATACATGCAACTTGAACAATAATCAGTCACAAGTCCAACCAACTCTCTCAACAGAATCAAATTCAATAAAACAATTTAATTACATCATTTCTAACTATGTATTTCACATATTAGTTGCTGCAAAATTGCACTATTTAGTTAGAAAAAATGCCTCACTAAATGGGCTAATTATTAAGTGAAAACCTGCGCATCTGCGCCGGCGCCAAACAGGCCCTAACTCTATCACCAAGCCAAAAAAAAAAAGCCTGAATCTTGAAGCCAACTAGAGCATTCTCCCAGAACGGCAAATGAAGCAACAAAACTTTATAGTATTTTTGTTGGTTATTTTTGTTGGTTAAGGTTAATTTAATTTTTCAACAAAAACCGTTCAGTTCAAATCCCACATTCACATTCTTTTGCCAGAAGCACAAAATTGGAAGCTAAATGACATAAATTTTGGATAGCAAACTATTAGCATATTCATTAATGGCTAGTTTAGTCATTAATTAATGTTTATTTTTAGTTATTAGCTTGGATTCTTTATTATGCCTTTCTTTTTCGACTATATCATATTTTTATTTTTAGCCTTTCAAATAGATCCTGCAATGAGTATTTATACCCATTTTTGCATCAATATCGTGGTTCTATTCTAACATGGTATCAGAGCCATGGTCCTAAACTAGCTGCAGCAAGTCCTCTCCGTGCCGCCAGCTAGACAATCACAATCCCTTCTCCTCAGTCGGTTGGGCCTGCTCCAGGCTACCTGCTGCAGGGCCTGCTCCAGGCCGTTTTCTCCAGACCGTCTGCTTGAGTCTAAATTCCCTCTCCTTGTCGTCATCTGCTTCAGGACCTTTGTTCCGATCACCTAGGGCACCTTCCAGCCACCAAAAATCCTGCCTAAATGACCAGCCTCCCTCCAGGTTTGTCGGAGCCCCTTATGGAACCTTCTTCTAGCCGGCCAAATCCAGCGGGAACCCTTCCAGAGGCCATATTCCTCCAGCAGCCGGAACTTTACGATGTCTCAACAACCTAACAACACGTTTGGCTCAATCGGAGTCATGACGCACTCCTCCAACACTGAGCCGTCATCAGAAGATGTTTTGATTCCACCAGAGGATCAATTCCAACCTCCGTTCCTCTGCAGACCAGAGAACAGGAAAACAACATGAACTTCTTGATCACAATCCATAAACTAAACGACAATAACTTTTTTTAATTGTCTCAATTTGTGTCCTTATTCATAAAAGGGCATGGGAAATTTGGTTATCTCACTAGTGTGATTCGTGAACCTCAAAAGATTGACTCAGCATATGCAGCTTAGGAAACGGAGAATTCCATGGTCACGTCGTGGCTGATCAACTCCATGGAAACTTCAATTGGTCGATCATATCTTTCCTTTCAATAGTGCACTCTAGACGGCAATATGTGATACCTACTCAGATATAGAGAATTTCAGACAATTTTATGAGGTATCTAAGAAAATCCGGGAGGCAAAACAATGATAGAAGAGTGCGACCCAGTACTACAATGATCTAGTTGCATTATGAATGAAATGCGACCAGTATTATGACTACACTTAGGAATCTCCGGCTGACCTATCTCTCTTCCAGAAAATTGTAGGAAAGAACCGCATGTTCCAATTTCAAGCAAGCCTCAACAAAGATATTAACAAAGTACAAGGTCGTATCCTTGGACGAGATCCTCTTCCTTCTACTCGTGTTGCTTTCACTAAGATTCATCGCAAAAAAAGTCGGAGACTTGTCATGTTTGGTGCTTCCACTCCGTCCGCCGAAGTATCCGTCGTGGTCTAATAGTGCTCAACCCCGGGCAAGTCAACCTACTTGTTATTACAGTCATAAACCCAAGCACACTCGTAATAAATGTTGGAAGCTCCACCGGAAACTTGCATCCAAACCATTAGCCAAATCTTCCACTGCCAAGGGTCTAGCTACAGCTTCTGAATCCAATACAGTACAGCAAACATCTACCCAGAACAATCCAGGATCCTCCAATTCTCTTGAAAGTCAAATGTCACTTAATCAAGCTGCTTGGATCCAGTTAGCTCCCTTCCGGCCCGTCGACCTCCCACGTTCGTTGAGGAACCAATACTATGACACTCACTTATTTTGCCATTTCTAGTCCATGGATTATTGATTCAGATGCCACATATCACATAATTGAAAACTCTCAAGCCTTCTCAACATGTTATCCTTGCTCAATGAAAAATACTGTTAAAATTGCTGAAGGGTCCCAAAGTTTCATTGTTGGTAAAAGTTCTGTTGTTTTAACAACTCAGAAATCTGTGTTACATGTACCTCTGTTGAAGTGTAACATTTGATCTGTCAATAAGCTGAAATATGACATTAATTACGTTGTTCATTTTCCTCCGATGTTTGTCTTTCAAGATCATCGTTCGGGAATGATAATTAGAATTGCTAAGTGCATTGGCAAGCTATACTTCTTGCAAGAGAAAAGCATGGAGAACGAGCACACCTCACCATATAATTGCAGTATATCTTAGTATATTGAATGTCCTATTATGTTATTATATTGTAGTTTGGGTCATCCTAGCTTCCAAAATCTAAAACAATTGTATCCATTGATGTTTACCAATAAATATCCTTCTAATTTCAAATGTGAAACCTGTTAGTTAGCTAAACATTGTCGTGTTCCTAATCCACCCCACAATTATACACATCCCGCTCTCTCTCTTATTCACGGTGACTCATGGAGACCCTCTCGCACTCTTAGCTACACAAATAAACGGTGGTCCCTTTGATTAATAACCACACTTGGATGACATGGGTCTATATTTTAAAAGATAAATTTGAAGTTGATATCACTTTTACAAACTTATCATTATTCTGACCAAATTCAAAACTCCTATTCAAGTCTTTCAAACTGTCCATGGTAAGGGCATCATCCTCCATCATAGCTCATGTACCGACACTCATCAACAAAATGGGGTAGTCGATAGAAAAAGCCGACATCTCCTCGACGTTGCTCGCTCCATTATGTTTCATTCTAACTTCCCAAATCGTTTCTGAAATGATGTCATTCTTACCACTACTTATCTCATCAGTAGAGTTCCCTCTAAAATTTATAACTTTCGTACCCCTTTAGTCGTCTTGAGATCATGCCCCTTTAGTCGTCTTGAGATCTTGCTTTCCTAACAAACAGATCTTCTTCACTTTAGATCCCAAAATTTATGTGCACAGCATTTGTTCAGAACACAGCCCAAACTTGGAGTAAACTTGATCTTATGTCCATAAAATGTATTTTCTTCAAATACTCTACCACTCAAAAGCGGTATCGATGCCTTGACCCTATCACAAATAAGGTCTATATGAGTACTGACGTTTTTCTTTTTAAAAGTGTTCCTTTCCTAACTCGGCCTCCGGTGAGGGGGAGCTATAGTTTTTGAACATTGTTCCTTACCCTACTCTTGTGAATGTTCCCCCCATGTCACTTACCTTCGAGGAACCCTCTATTCCTTTAATTCCACCAGCACATCCTCCTACTCTCTGTGTCTTCACTCGACACACTCATTCTGATGCATCTATTATGGAGCTCGCTAATCCCTTGTTGGACCCTGAATCCATCCAGACAACATACCCCAACAATGTTCCTAATCCAAATGAGGAAGTCAGTTCCTCTAATAAGGTATGCCATCAGATATGCTCTCTATCACGTGGAAAATTATGTGCTCTTTTCACAGATTATCGCCAACCTACGCGGCCTTGACCAATCAACAGCTTCAATCTACTATTGAGGCTGCCTTAGCAAACCCAGCCTGAAAAGCTGCTACCATTGAGGAGATGAATGTCCTTAAGCGGAACCATACTTTGGACATTAAAGATCTTCCTCGAGGCAAAAAAGCAGTGGGATGTCGAGGATTTTTAGCAATAAGTTTAAATCCGATGATTTGAATGCAACAAGGCACATTTGGTTATCAAAGGGTACTCACAGAACTACGGGGTTGACTATGAAGAGACATTTTCTTCATTTGCTAAATTAAATACCATTTGAATCATTTTATCCCTTTCAGTTAATTTAGATTGGTCCTTATTCCAGCTTGATGTCAAGAATACATTCCTGAATGCCATCTTACAGAGAAGGTATACATGGCTCTTCCTCCAATCTTTGACTCCACTGCCTCCCAGGATCAAGTATTTAGGCTGTGAAAATCTCTCTATGGATTGAAGCAATCACCACGGGCATGGTTCAGAAAGTTCAAAAAGGTGATGGTAGGCCATGAATTTACTCAAACTCAATCGGACCGCACTCTTTTCTTCAAGCATTTTTCCAGCGACGTTCAAAAAGGTGATGGTAGGCCATGAATTTACTCAGACTCAATCGGACCGCACTCTTTTCTTCAAGCATTTCTCCAGCGACCAGGTAGCTATCCTTATCGTCTATGTTGACGATATTGTTCTCATAAATAATGATCTACCAGCATCGGAGTCTCTGAAATGCATTCTTGCTGCTTCCTTTAAAATGAAGGATGTGGAATCTCTCTGATACTTCTTAGGCATAGAAGTTGCTCGGTAATCTCAAAGTATTTGTCTATCTAAACGGAAATATGTGATTAACTTTTTGACAGAGAACAATCTTCTCATATGCAAACCAGTGGTCATCCAGATGGATCCCAATGAAAAACTTCTTGATATTCCCAATGCAGTTCCTATAAACAAGACTCACTACCAGCGTCTTGTCGGGAAGCACATCTACCTTGCCCATACACGCCCCGACATTTGTGACGCAGTTGGGACAGTCGTAAATTCATACATGATCTCTAAGAGCATCATCTCCGAGTTGTCAACCGGATTCCCTACCATTTAAAAGGCACACCAGGAGGATGTTTTTTTTTTCACAGCATACCTCTCATTCTATTGCAGTTTACATAGACGTGGATTGAGCTAAGTCCGTCCATGATCGGCAATCTACCTCAGGGTACTATTTATTTGTGTGGGGAAACCTAGTCATATGGAAAAGCAAGAAGCAGTCTGTAGTTGCTCGGAGCAGTGCGGAACCCGAATTTCGGTCCATGTCCCTGGGAATTTGTGAAACTCTCTAGTTATGCATCATGTTCCAGGAACTATGTATGATAGTATCTGTTCTCCTATAGTTATTCTGTGATACAAAGCAGCCATTAGCATTTCTCACAACCCGATCTAAGCATGGTCGCACCTAACATATTGAGATGACCAACACTTCATTAAGGAAAAGCTCAAATCCGAGGAAATTAGTATCCCGTTTGTGTCATCCAGTAGTCAGCTGACAGATATTCTTACAAAGAACCTTTATTCGACGATTTCAAATCCAAGTTGAACATGACTGACATCTATGGTTCAACTTGAGGGGGAGTATTAGAATAGTCATTAATGGCTAGTTTTAGCCATTATTAATTCCTTTTTATTCTGATTTATTAACTTGGATTCTTTATTATTTCTTTCCTTTTCTACTAGATCCTCTTTTAATTTCTTGTCTTTCTAATAGATCCTATAATGGGTATTTACACCCCTCTATGCATCATTAATATTTACCCTGGTTCTATTCTAACATAATCTTAATTTTAGATTAAGATATAACAAATATGTATCGTTATCATTTTCATGGTTGCTAAATTGCATACCCTACAGTTAGCTTCCATTCTATTTATCATGGGCTTCTAAAACTTATCTTTTAATCTATCAAAATAAAAGTGAAAGACTATCATGCCATAAAGGCCCAACACAGCAAAGTGAGGAGGCACGCCTTTTCAAATTAGAAGCTGCTTTTAAACACCAAGTAAATGCCATCTTAACTGAGATTTTTTTCAAAACTTCAACATATCGACGCTTGCAAAATCACAAAACAAAGCAGCAGCTCTGCATCCACAACATTAAAGGGAAAAAAAATCAGAATGCAAAACTAAGAACTCCGTAATCTTACAGTAAAATCAAGTGCGCACATAAATAGCCATTCTTACTTCTTATCCCTTGAGTGGTGTTACCTATCTTTACAACCATGATTAACAAGGAGTATGAAGAAATAGCATGACAAAATTAATACAAATTATTAGCTTTTATAGCAAGAACAGATGAGAAAAGTGTCAAATGAAGTGTAGAAGAAATGAACTGTTTTCCATTTAAACGAAAGAAAAGATCACAATGCTGCACTACAAATTTGGCCGAATGAAAAAAAAGGACTAAACAAAGAAGAATTTGAATTATTATTGTTTGTATATGAAGAACTTGGCAAAGAAAAAAATTATAGGATTATATTCATAATAGCTCAAGTCTAGCAGAATGTTTACTCGGAGAGAAAATATTTAAAAACAATGGAGCAATTTCAGGGAACTTCAAAAAATTTAAAGTGCAAGAAGGACATTTCCTCTAGTAAGAATCAGTTCTACAAAGATGCTACTCAGGTGATCACCCTTTTTTAAATTGATCATGGTGTTCAAGGCCAGCTAGGTAGTGTATTACGCTCGCCCAAGCATCCTATGCACTAAGAAACTACACTAAAGGAATTTCGCTTTTATTAGAAAATTCAGTTTTGCCACACCTAGTAAAAGTAAGTGCTAGTGCCTTGAGAACTTTTTTTTATAAAAAATGTTTACTCCTCTCGCACCAAATAATATCAACATTAATTATTATATGTCATGAAATTACCGAAGAAACAAAATCATGCATCCTTTATGAGTGTAATCCCCTATCAAACATTTTTTTTGGACTTTAAATTTGTGATGCTGCTCTTTGGCATTGAATGCTATTGCTTGAAGTTGCTTTAGTACAAACAGCATGTCAAATTTTACATAGACAAGCAACATTAATTGCAACCATAAGTCATGTTATAATACAAAAACCATAATGTTCTTCTCTTGAATGTTAATCTCTCCAACATAAGAATAAATGGTCATGCTTTGAACAACTCAACTTTTGGAGCATTTGTTCACATTTAACTCTCAATTTCCATTTGATAAAGGCGAGTGTATACAATAAAAATCTTTCATGCAGTGAAATGCTTATTTGGCAGCTCTGATTGCAAAATTTCCAAAGAGAGCCCAGGATTGTGATCAATTAAAAAATAATGTAAAAACAAAAATATGAATATGATCACTATAGAAATTGGAAATTTTTAAATGGCTGCAAAGTCAAAAATAAATTTTGACTTATCTACTGAACTTCTAGAAATAATTGTACCTGGTTGCTAGTGCATCTATTTCATCAATAAATATTACCGATGGTTTATTCACCTGTATAATCACAAGGCTATAAGAATTAACATAAACCCATGGAAAAATTATTGTAACAAAAAAGAAAAAGAAAAAGTAAGAAAAAATTTTGAATAAAAATATGACCTGCAACTATCATCTGGCAATAAAAAAAGAAAATCAGGGGATACACTCTCTTTACTCGAACTTCAAAATTCAATCATCCCTTACAATGCCTTATATTTGTTCAAGAAGTAAATTTATTACAGCTAAGGATCACTTACAGGTGCATAAGAAAGCAGGTTTTCAAATTGATAACTGCCGACTTGGTTTTACCATTTTAGGCAACTTTACAAATGATTTATGGCATCTAAATGCTCGTAAGCCATAATTTAACTGCTCCAAAAAAAAATAGTTTTTAGGCTAATTCTATCAAGGGAATATCAAAATTGTTGAGTTGCAACGGTCAGCACATCCTACACTTGATGAGATGAGGTGTTGAAGATCTACAAGTTTATGGGTCAAACGCAGAAGCAGATAAATGATCTGAGCAATTTAAGCAAATTTTATTGCAATTTATCTGAAAATTCGCCAATAATAAAGTTGCCTATGAGAATGGACATTTTCTTTAGTTTTCTGATTTTTTTTTTCTAGTTCTGTTTGGTTTTCTTATATTGATTTTAAGTTTGGTAAGCTCGGTTAACTGCCAGGAGTATTATTTGTTCCAGGGTATTGATAAAAAAGGCATAATGTGCTTTGATGGTTCATTTTATCTGATGTTTGCAGACTGGCATGTATGGTTCTTGATATTTATTGTGTTGAGTAATATATTCCTTGCGTGGAGCTACTTTTTTGTGTGTAGAGTTTGGAACTATGCTGCTTGAATTTACATGGCTTAGTTGTACTGACTCTGTTACTGTAGTTATCTTATCAATATGGATTAATGGTGATAAAATTTATCAACTCTATGGTTCCATGACTATTTGGATTTACTTGCTACAGCTTCTACAATTGCTATAGAGCTATCCAATAAGAGCTTTATCATGTGCATGGAAGGATAACTTGTTCTACAGGTCTATGTATGCAATTCCTATAGTAAATTTCAATATTTAAGCTTAAGGGCAGCAGTATCAGCTGTGATTACCTACAACAACTAAATTGGTGCTACAGTTATTTAATTGGAGTTTCACATTTGTAATGGCTCATCTATTTTGTCATTTCTCGTTGTGAACTTGAAATTAAATTTAGTTAACAACAAGGCAGTCAATCTTGGTGTTTTTTTTGCCAATCTTTTTTATTGATTTAAAATAAGAAATCTTTCTGTAGAGTACATGAGAAAGAAAAGACAATGGCTTTTATTTAAAAAACTATCAAGTTGTTTTCAATCTTGTATGCGCCTGTTGCAAACAAAATGTTTCTTAATGTGATGGAAATGTGATGGACTATTTCCATGGAAAGATATCTACCTGCATTTGCAAAAGGTCTTGATTTTCTTCAGTTCAGCGATCTCTAATATTAGTGTGCCTTCTTGCAAAAAATTATTAATGATATTGCGAAAGTGCTAACTTCGGTCAAACTTATCACAACTAGGTTTAATTGCAATGAAAAAAGTCATTTCCCGTATGATTTTTTTTTCAATTTTATTGTTATTTTCTTTGAACTTGTTTAATTATTGCATTATAATATGTTGGTTTGATTTTCACAGATTTGAGTTTACATCTAGAGACCATTTGCTTTGAAGTGTTGAGGGTGTAAAGTAAATAAAATGTAAGTATTATAGTTTTTAAGATGTTTGGATTGGAGGCAAAACAAGAAAAAAATTAAAACTTTATGGTATTTCCAATACGCCGAATAGTATATTTTCATTGCATTCAAAACATGCCCAAAATTGAATGAGAAAGCAATACAGCACGCACAGCCTGCATTCACATTCTCCTTCTACCTACCTTGCATGCAGGCGTGCGTGCCCAATTTCTGCTACCAGAATGTTATTTCAGAGACAAAAAGAGGAATAGTTGCAACAAAACCAATTGACATGTAAAACAACAGAAATTTGGAGCTGGATGATCTGATCCCATGGTTGACTGCCATAATACACCTGCCACTGCAATAAATCTATGGCAAAGCTCATCTAACAAAAACTCCGAACATCAGCCACCTCTTATCTTTTATGGACATCTTCTTCAGGTACTAAGCTTCTTACTGCTATTTTTGATAGTGATGGGTTATTCACGTAATAAGCTCTCCAATCCACTGGCGATCATTTTGTTTTAATTTCTAGTAGAACATGCTTCTTATCCTAAGATCCTTTTTTCCACTGAGAGCACATGCAATGGATCCCTATTTATGTAATCATTTTCAATTTAAATCTAGAAAAAAAATGTCATAACTTACCCTTTGAAACTTGATTGCATTTTACCAATCTGATGTTTTTAAGCAAGCAATAACCTCATTTTATAAATCTGTATATACAAATTATCAATAAAATTTAGAAAATTAGGTCAATATAATGAAAAGGATAAGAACAAGATTTCTTATAATATTTATAGTACAAAATGTCAAAATATATACACAACTGAAACAAACTTAGATCTTGTATTGCATTTTATTTTTATCAAAAGATTTTCTGATATGATTTTCCTTCAGCTAAAATAATTAGACAAAAGATTAATCTCTTTTGGACATAATTCCTATGATAAAAATATATAATTTCATTTTTAGTATGATTTTATCTAAAATAATTGCATTAACCGTATTGGTTTCCTTACACGAATATCTTAATGTGTCCTAGCTTAATAGTGGGTTCACATGTGCTCTGAAGTTGAATGAACGATTACATAATGTAGATCAGTTGTCCAATTCAAATAAATTCCATGATGACATACAGTTAAGTCAGAATCACTCAGCTGCAATGGTACATTCAATTGCATTGTCTTTTGTTATCAACTCATTTGAAAACATCTACATTAGATAAAATATATCAGTCTGAAAACACTTTCATATATTTATGTTGGAATGGCTTTCTTAATATAGAAATAGAGCACGAAGAGATATGATTTCAAAAATGATAACAAGCTTAAATAAGATCAAATGATTTTGTCGGCTTGAACAATCATGAACCCTAATATATTTAAGGAGTATTTACTTGCTAAAATAATGAATTTAAGGGACACACAATGGGTTGGGTGGCATATGACTGATATAAAAGAGGTCTACGAGGCTAGCGTTGAGTAGCAAAAAGAGACAGTGGTTGGCACAATACTATGTCACATTCAATTGCATTGTCTTTTGTTATCAACTCATTTGAAAGGATCGGTTTTCGATAACATATATTAGTCTGAAAGCACTTTCATATATTTATGTTGGGATAACTTTCTTAATATAGAAATAGGGCTCGAAAAGATTTGCTTTCAAAAATTATAGCAAGCTTAAATAAGATCAAATGGTTTTGTCGGCTTGAACAATCATGAAGCCTAATCTATTTAAGGACTACTTAGTTGTTAAAATGTTGAATTTAAAGGACACAATGGGATGGGTGGCATATGATTGATATAGAAGAGGTTAATGAGGCTAGCATTGAGTGGCAGGAAGAGATAGTGGTCTGCACATGCTAAGAGGGATGAAGGTTGGTGTCTTCACACAAGCACAAGGGTTCAAGTCATCAATCGTGATCATGAGCAGAGCAAAGGTGTTGCATGAGGTCCAAAAAGTTTGTTAGAGGTCAGAAAGGCATCAATAATCAAAATATATTTGGAATTCACCAAAACTGGCTGAATTTTAAATACACTGAAAATGACTAACGGTGAGTTCCAAACCTTTAAAAATTTTTCTATCAATTTTTTCCTTTCGACCAAACAATTAAATTTAAAACAATTACATTTAGTTTAACTCTATAATCCTAATAACTCTAACCAAATAGCCCCTTAGTAAGTAGAGATAATCAATCTAACCAAAATATAAATCCTTGTCAACAAGCATGGGTTGATTCATCCAAAGGGTCTTCACAAACCAAGGGTGAAAGTTTACAGAGAGTAAATTTAAGGTTGATATAGGTTAACAAAAGGATTTCTGTTCTATTAGAAAAATAAAGTATAATATAAGCTCTAGTGCATGCCTTTAAGGAGAAGATTGAGCCTTAGACATATTCATGATATAACAATGCCGTCATAATCAAACCAACTATCCAAATAGATGACACATCTCACATCCTTACTAACAGAGAATTTAAGCTAGAATTATTTGAACACAAATATGGAATTAATTTTTTTGAGTTTGGGTTAAATCTAAACTTCTAGCGTTTAGCTTCATGTAGAGGGTGAAGGTTGCTATATGAATAAAGTAATAAGTTTTTTTTATGATTATCATTTTTTATGAATTTGATATATTTTCATATTATTATAGTATTTCTATATTTTGGATTTTAGGAGTTAAGGCCTCACAAAGTTTGGCTAGGTTGGCAACAATTAGAGGCAAGGTTTCATGGTTAGTGATTAGAGACGGACCTCGAGTTAGATAATCCAAGGGCAGGCCAAGATGGTGACTACAGATCACATCCAGTTGGGTTTGACTATCAATGCAACCAGCATAAGGAAGTTGAGGTTTATATTGGTGGTGAAAGGCCAACTAGGTTATCATAATAGTATTTTTGAGCAGTTAAGCAACTTGTTTCAATTAGCATTGCCAAAGCTTTCTTATAATGAGGATAGAGCAATGCAGCAATTTGGTCCTTTCCTTGAAGTGAGGAGATAACAAGGCACAAATAAACTTTTGAAGAACGTACTTCCTATTCAACCAATTTTTTGGCTTATTGGATAAGTAAGTTGTTAATGAACTAACCATTTTTGGGTTAACTTTTTCTGACCATTTTACCTAGCTCAATCCTAAACATGCAAGCTTATAACTATCTCTCTTCTTCACTAAATTTGTTAGAGCATTGCATAATACAGATTGTTCCTTTCCTAGTTCCTAAAGCTTTTAATGGGGTAAGAGATTTGACTTCGTTGGGCCCTATCTAAACTTCCTAGATGTTCGTGGAGGTAGGT